CTGGGGGGGGGGGATTTGCATTGTGAATGTGCAAAAAACGGGGAAGTGCAGTTGTGCAGACCTCAGTTTGGTGGGGTGGACAATATCACATATAAAAGGAAGACATGCAGATAAGGAACTTAGTTCACTGTTTCTGCATCTGTGCGTGTGTGTGTGTGTGTGTGTGTGTGTGTGTGTGTGTGTTCAGTGCTTCGGAGGCAGTAAGTCTTTGAGATCTCTCTCCCAGTCTCTCTGCGATGCTGGTTGCAGACTATTGCAGTTGAGTTGCAGTGCTGCGGATCGGTGACCTGTAGCCTTTAATGAGACAAACCACTTCACACACACACACACACACACACACACAGCCTGAAACACAGGCAATACGCTGAAATTCTGCTGGGTTTACTTGTGCTGTTGCTCTCTAGAAATGGACTCGTAGGAAAGAGAAATCACAATGAAATCTCTTTGTTATTTCAATTGTGGCTTCTCGACAGCAATAGAAACAAATGGAGAATAAATGGACATGTTTGCTTAAGTCTCCTGTTTCTCAGATGTTTCTCCTGAGAAAATCAAACAGTAATCTCACATCTCTACATTTTCTGAGGAGATTTCAAAAATGTCTCATACACTGTACTATAGAGGGATTCACAAAATTGTTTAAATTTATTCTATTTTTATTTTCCATTTTAGTTTAGGTTTTAGTCATTTTATTTTTTATTTAAATATTTCTTTATAGATTTTTTAAATAGTTTTTAATAATTTAATTACTTGTACTAAAACTAGTTGCCAATGCAACATTTCTAATGTTCATTTAAGTTCATCTAATATTTAAATTGATCTAATATGATCTTATTTCAGCTTCATTTAAATGACCAAAAAGATTTTTAATAGTTTTAGTTAACAATAATAACACAGACTCAGATCTGCCAAAATACCCAAGTCTGAAATCATTTTGAGATTTTAATATAAATATAATATTTAAATATAAATATAATTTCTCATCAAATGATCTGGGCTGCCCCACATTCCCCACATTTTTAGCTCTATATTTCACTATAGTTCTATATTGTTATTATATGTGAATATTTCCCGTCTATATTCTGAAGGTTTTTACAGAGGGGTTTGTTCATATAGCATTTTCCTGATTTTACACAACATATTTTGATTACGTCTTGAATTGATTTTTCCGTACATTTCTGCCATATGTACATTAGCTGACAGTCACCACTGATAAGCTACCACTAAATATATTGTAGAAACGTAATTTTCTGTAAAGTTGCTTTGCAACGAATTGTATCGTGAAAAGCGCTATACAAATAAACTTGAATTGAATTTTCTAAACATATGGTGAAAATTTATTTGTTTGTTTATTTGTTTATTTATTTATTTTCTGGTTGTTGCCAGTATTTTCTGATGTATGGAATGATAAAAAGAGACATCAAAAATCCTCCAAAAACATCAGCCACGCAAGATTCGGAAAAGAAAAA